CTTGATAGACTTGCTGGACCGATTCTTCACTTGATCGACTTGCTGGGTCGGTTTTTTACTTGATCGACTTGCTGGGTCGGTTTTTTACTTGATCGACTTGCTGGATCGATTCCTCACTTTATCGACTTGCTGGGTCCATTTTCGACTTGATCGTCTTGCTGGGTCGATCCCTCATATGATCGACTTGCTGGGTCGATTACCGACTTGATCGACTTTCTGGGCCGACCCCCCAATTTTTCGAATTGCTGGGTCGATCCCCCACTTCATCGACTTGCTGGGCCGATTTCCCACTTGGTCGACTTGCTGGGTCGACCCCCCACTTGATCGACTTGCTGGGTCGATCCCATACTTGATCGACTTGCTGAGTCGATCACCGACTTGATCGACTTGCTGGGTCGATCCCCCATTTTTTTGACTTGCTCGGTCGATCCCCCACTTTTTGACTTGCTGGGTCTAGCCCCCACTTTTTCGACTTGCTTTGTCGACCCGCATTTGATCGACTTTCTGGGACGACCCCCCACTTTTTCGAATTGCTGGGTCGATCCCCCACTTGATCGACTTGCTGGGCCGATCTCCCTCTTCGTCGTCTCTCTGGGTCGACCCCTCACTTGATTGACTTGCTGGGTCGATTCTTCACTTGATCGACTTGCTGGGTCGATTCTTCACTTGAACGACTTGCTGGGTCGATTCTTCACTTGATCGACTTGCTGGGTCGATTCTTCACTTGATCGACTTGGTGGGTCGATTCCCCACAAAGACAGGGTTTCGTATATACGTAGAATAGGGAATGTTATGTAATGCTGTGGAAAATATATTTCGAGATTTCAACGGGAATACACGTTTTGGTGTCTTCTGATACCGAAAAAAATGTTATTTACAAAATGTCCGTCTGTGAATACCAGTATTGCCTAAAATATGCGTAGGATATTTTCCACATTGGCTTGAGTGGAAGGCGAAACCCTCTGTTTAACAGAAGGGCAAGCAGGATAAACCTAAAGTAGATACTGATTCAGAATCCTTGGACTCGAAAATTTGTGATTAGATTTAGCTAATAAATGATCTGAAATATTTGACAAGACTAGTCATTTGAGGTCCATTTACGTACGTCTCGCCACGTAAAATAAGGCATATTCAATTCAATTTACGTAGGAGGAAACCGCTATCAATCCTCCTGTGCTAGTCTGCAGTCCCTGTAACTCGCACCTCAATAAAAGAATTTGTGCCTATTACAGATCCTTTCAGAAAACGCTTCGAGTTATGGCTCGTGTGCTGCAATTTATTTCTTTACTCAAATCTGGCAATTTAACAAAATTAAACCAATGTGTAATATTGTAAAAAATACGACCAGATCATCTCGGTACTTAGTAGAGAAAGTTGTTTTAAAGGATAATGAAAGAGAAGCAAGTACTTCGGACAAAGTGGCAAATCTCTTCAACCAACACTTTTCTAGAATTGCGGCTGAACACAAAGGAACTAATAACCCGAAAATCGATATTCTGTCTTTCCCAAAAAAAATTCGACACGATGTTTATTTCCGAAACTTCTTTTAACGAAATCCTGAGAATAGTCAGTAAACTAAAAATTAAATATTCATCTGGTTTGGATGAATTTCCGGATTGTTTATTGAAATCGTGTACATGCCTTTATACACCGGTTAACTCACATTTTCAGTGCTTCTTTACGTACGGGAATATTTCCAGATGTTTTTAAAACAGCAAAAATCAAGCCACTTTTGAAATCCTAGGAATATAAAACCGCGAGGTCAAGAAATAATACAAATTATATTTTACGTTTTTAATTAGCTCTTACTAAACGCAATTTCACAAACAAATCCATATACTTCAATAGATGCTATTCGTAGTTGTACTTGATCTTCACCAGAATCGCTAGCTGTATGCGTGCGCATCACTAACGACCCGAAAAATGAGCTGAGCACACTGGAAGTTCTCTTCTCCAGGGTAGGGAAACTTGGCGGTCAAAACGGGGTAATGATTTTTGCGCCATCTACAACAGGTCCGACGTGATCCGAGACTAAACGGTGTTGACGTCATTGCAATTCAAAAATCTGGCATGTGGCGTGTTAGGTTGTTTGCGTAACGTGCAGCTGCAAGCAGGTATGCTCTTTTTTATCGAATTTTTTCAGGCATTTTGGTTAAGTTAATGATAGAAGTCGACATTGGTAAGTAAACTGTGTAGGATATTTATTTGTCATGTCTAAAAACTTGTGTTTTCAGTATTTTGGAGATAATACTTAGAAGACTGGTGCTAGACAAGTGTCATCGCTAGGATTTCGCCCTACCAGCAGTGGAGTATTTAATTTCATTTTGGAATCTTGTTGCATAATTGGAATGATTATTTCATCGTGAACATTTTACACCATGCAAAATAGTTTAAAAATCCGTAATCCATGTAGTATAACGCTAACCTAACATGTCATTTATTCTGTTCTATTTGTTTTTAAAAGTATTTGTAATTATATTATTTCGTATGGTATTCGGAACAAGTTTTGAATTGCCATTGTATATCCATGTTCCATTTGTTTTGCAATACCTGATCATTCTAAATGTCTAATTTTTCAAATATACATAAATTCATTATTGTTTGCATTTCTAAATATGGTACACTCTCATTAGTGTATGATTGAAAATGTAATTCGATTTTATCTTGACTTAGGTGTACGATTATGTTTCCATGTCTGGATGGTATCTTCAAGTTGCAGTATGATAAATGGCAAGCATATAAACGAATTGACTTCAGCTAACATTAGGAAGATGATTTGATCAAACAGTGTTTCCTACAAAGCCAGCCCTCTTGTCTCTCAAGACATGTTCAGAAAATCTTATTTACAAAGTGTGGCCAGTAGACTTTTTCGCGCTTGATGCTGCAAGTGCTGCCTAGCTCGATATGTAGAGCAATGTATCTATTTCAGGCAATATATAGTTTCAAATAATTAATTGCTTGTTTGTGAAGAATGGTTGCAATAACAAGGCTCTGGAAATATGTTAATAATAATCATAAAATTTTGAATGTGAACAATTAAGAAACTTTGTTTGTGGAATATATAATAAAAGAACTGGTGTGTATAAATAATATACTCTAAAATCTAACGTTTATTTAAAAATATTAAGATAAGTATAATACTTTTTAGATATTCACATACTTCAGTGCTAAGAAGTTAATATATTATAGATGATTTTTAATTAAATGTACCAAATTTGAATTGCTAATGAAACATCTGAACCAATAAATCCTGTAATAATATATTGATAATTATAGTAAAAATCATATTCAATTTTTCTACATATACTGTCAAAATTCTGTCATCCGTAACAATTCAGTATTGTCTCTACCATGTGTAGGTTTCAATGAGGATAGTTTGTGTGTGACTTTGTGGAAATATTGTCTGAGTGGCAGTAACCAATCAGTAGCTTATAGAAAAAAAAAATCTGTATTGCTGCTAAACAGAAAAACCTGCGCCAGTTCTTTATTTTAAAGTTAAGATTGCCTAAAACTAGGGAGAAACTGGCCAAATTAAAATTGTTATCTTCCCACAAATTTCATTTCATAAAAGATTTTTTTTTAAACCAATGCAATTCTCTCTTAATCCAGAACAGAAGCATATTTACTGGTATGTTATTACAAAGAGATGAATCAACTTCCCAAAACATAAAAACTAGTATAATTTATAAATGTTTCATTTCCTTGGTTTTCAAAGACTTACCCAAAGTAGTCACAGTACCAATGATTGATATTGTATCAAAATTACAATTCTATTTTTGGCTATAAAATGTCACCAAAATTAAGGCTGGTATGATTTATATCAAGTGATAAATTTTAAAAAAATTTGATTTAAGTTATTTTTCAAATATTACAATATTAAAAATTAAGTTATAGAGATGAAGACTTAAATAAATTACACAGTTTATACAAAGAATATATTTCTTACAAACTTTTTCACATAATTGAAGATTCGAGAAAAAAATATAATGTGATGTACTTTAAAAATGAGCATGGCTTATGAATGAACAATAAACAATTTGTAGCAGTTATTACTAATGGACTTGGGATGATATAATGTTTTTATCCAGCATTTCATTGTCTGTAGATAATGGCAAATTAGGACAATACACACACCGAGCTAGTTTCAGGAAAAATGCATTAAACTCTCAAGCATATTATAATTGTAGATTTGGAGTAAAATGTTTGCTAATGCCACATAAAGTATAACATCTTAGAAGATGAGCATTAATAAAAATGAATTTTATTGATACTCACTTAAGAAAAAAATTAATATTGTTAAAACTAATGAAAACAGTATTTATCTTACTAATTTTAATAATATTAACCTTTTTCCTTGTGTATATTGGTAAAATACCATTTAAGTGGGAAGGAACAGGAACAACTATTGAATAGAATTAATATTTCAAAAACTGTCTAATATTGTTGTAAGTTTTTTTAATCAAAATAAGTTGTTTTTAACAGTAAGAGGCTTTTTGATTCAGATAAATATTACAGAAAAGACGGTAAAATTTTTTTGGACAAAGGATGCCTTTTTTCTGACCCCATGCTAACAGGTGTTGCTACAAGCTTATTCGAAAACGTGAACACATGAGAAGTGATGAAACTATAAGTACTCACATTTAAAGATTTTTGTGGGTTAGGCGGTATTGCACCAGACCCCTCAAATGTATAAGTATCTATGTGAAAAAAATAAAACAAACAATAAGGAAATGATCAATTTAAAACTCATGTTTTACTTTTTTCCCTTTAAAGTAATTAAGGATAAATAAATCACTTTACAATTTTGGTTTATAGTAAAACACATCTAATACAAATATTTAAAAATATTATTTAAATCAAATAATCTGAATCATTTAAGAAAAGCAGATAAGTTACTCTTGAATATCTCAACACGCATTGCATAATTGATTCGCACAACTTACTTTGAAAATGCCGCCAAAAATGCAACACTGCGCGTATCTGCACAGGTACGGGACTGAGGAAACAAACTTAGTCCCCCGCCTTTTAACATTGAGTGAACCGGCCCTGCTCTTCTCTTAGTATTCTTCTATAAAAAATAGGCCGATATTAGTGAGTGCCTATTGCTGTCAATTTTAGAGACAAAAGGGCGAAAAAGGGGGCGCAGTTGGCAGGTGTGGCTGTCAGTTGTTTCCCTCTGGTTGTAATTTGATTGCGCTGCAAAGTAAAGAGGATGGCAGCTGTTGGAGAACCTCTAACTTTAGCGCGAGGTAAAGTATTGGATTTCCAAAAAATGGGAAAAGTTATGAATTAACCTGTAGCAGTGCGTTGGCAAAGAGTTAATAGGAGTGTTAATTTTTTTCTCTATATTTGTAGACGTGAAGCGTGCAATTGAGTTGTTGGAAAAACTACAAAAAAGTAATGTATCAATTTAGTAAACAATTTGACAGTAACTGAGTAAAATATTCGTAAGTAAATCATTTTGCTTTTCTGTTTTTAGGTGGTGAAGTTCCCACTACTAAACTTGCTGCACTTCAGAAAGTACTTCAGAGTGATTTTCTCAATGCTGTTCGTGAAGTTTATGAACATGTTTATGAAACTGTTGATATACAAGGGTCACAGGATATTAGAGCATCAGCTACTGCAAAAGCTACCGTAGCGGCATTTGCTGCTAGTGAAGGCCATGCTCACCCGAGAGTTGTGGAATTGCCCAAGACAGAAGAAGGCCTGGGATTCAATGTAATGGGTGGCAAGGAGCAGAACTCTCCAATATACATATCACGTATTATTCCAGGAGGTGTTGCAGATCGACATGGAGGTCTAAAACGTGGTGATCAACTGCTTTCTGTGAATGGAGTGGTTAGTAAAAATATATTTGTATTGTAAATTTATTGCTAGTCTCTCATTTGCTGTATGTATAACATGTGTATAATTTGTGCATATGTAATGTGTTTATATAATTTGTTTTTCCTTTCTACCCCTTTGCTTATCCTTCGAGGATTTATTAATACTGATCAGATTTGATGTATACTTAAAGTGCATGGTCTTTTTTTTAGTGTGCATGTAAGTCACATTGAAACTGTCCAACAAACATTTTCAGGATGGTTTCTGCATGATTGAAACTCCTTGATCTATTTATTGAACTTAATTATGAAACAATTGCATTTTTGCTCGAAATATTGTCATTGAAGTCATTATAGAAAATGTAGTATTACATTTTCATACAAACTATCTGATGATTATGTTGATAGTCCCTAGTTATTGGGCCAATTCTGATTTAAGACTCCAGTAGAACCAAAAGATCTGCTTTATTTTTATCAAAAAATTACAAGTAATTGTGTACTGCAAATAACCCAATCAATTGAATGTTCAAATTTATAAACAATATTATTTAAGTACATTAGATTTGGCACAACTAAAATTTATAATGACCTGAAATTGAAGTTCTAAGGTATAGAACTTTATACGTATACATATACATTTTCAACTTATAAATTGTGATTTATTTTGATGATTACATTGATATACAACAAACACAATGCCCATTTGTATCTCCTGTTTGTAAATTAGACAGTTAATTCTGTATAATAAAGAAATTAATATCTCAACCTTTTTTACGGATATTTTCTTCCTTCCCACTCCATGTACTTCTTCTTTGCACAAATGGCAAAAAATTTTAACCTGTTCAAGATTTTAATATTAATAAAAACATTGCAAATTTTAGAATTTAATAAATTACGGGAAAACTTGGTTACTTGTCGCAATTTCAATTTTTATTGTTTAAATTTTTTGTTGTAATTACTTCTCTTCAGTTCAGCTATAGTTTTGTTAAAAAAATTGGCTTAATTTTTAATTAGACTTTCATTGACCACAGTTTCTAATGGAATTGTGCATATGTTCATCCTTGGGCAAATCTTGTTCATGTATTCACAATGTTATTTAACTGTTTAAGGCAGGTAATCTTGGCTCTGATCAGATTAGAAGTTTATAATTTCTGATAGGGTGTATAATTTCGTGATTGAAACTGCATTTGATAAGTGCCTATTCAATGTTAATTTATTTTAATTTAAACATAACTTAATGTGTTGTAAGGGATCTTGATGAAGAGTACCAGAGTCAGAAATATGTACAAGAATTGGAAAATATCCACTAGAAATATTAAAATCAAAATTTTAAAGAAGAAAATACTCCTTTACAACTTTGCTTGTTTAAAATTGTGTGATGATTGTTAAATACTTTTGTTTTTGAAATAGAAGAGTAGTAGATTTTAAACATGTTAAACATCATTCATTCTTAATTCTAAATTTAATTCTTAAATTTCATTCTTTTAATTGAAAGGGTCAAGGAAGATAGTAATAAATGTTATTTAAATAAATAAATTTTTAAAAAAAACCTTTGAATGTCTCTTAAAAACAAAAATTTTAATTGAAATTTATAAACTACAGAAAGTGTGGGAAGCAGCAAAAATTGTAAACAAATGGAAAGATTTATCGGAAAAAGAAAAAAGTTTCCTCTGACTGATAAAAATTACAGGCATGTAAGTTAGCTGTCTTGCTCCACCATTTCAAATTATCCACTTTTATTCTTTTTGTTCTTCTCGAATATAGTGGTATGGAATGACCTAGACAATTTTTTTTTTGGTTTGTGAAATGTTTCATTTGTTTCTAGTCTGTGGAAGGAGAAAATCATGAAAAGGCTGTTGAACTTTTGAAGCAAGCCCAGGGATCAGTAAAACTAGTTGTTCGATATACACCAAAAGTACTAGAGGAAATGGAAATGAGATTTGATAAACAACGAGCAGCTCGACGAAGACAATTTCAGTAAGTATATTTTTTTCTTTCTTGTGTAGGATAGCATATAAGATTGATTTTAAAATATTTATTTGGAAATTTATACTTTGTAAATTTGTGTTATTGTAGGCACATAAATGATGAATGAAGAGGGATTGCCAGGAAATAGCTTGCTCAATCTGTTTGTTTCAGAACATTTTGAAGTAATTGTAATTGTTGCAGTAATTATAATTCTGTTGGGGTTAATCAGGTGTTTGTCGATTTAATTAAAAATGTATTGTCAGTGTTGTGAGTTGTAAGTAATTACTTTATTTTGTAAGTTCAGTATTGTGAAACATTTCCAACTTGAAGTCTATCTGTAATGAGAAACTGTTTTTAATTATTTCGGTTTATATTCTGTTAAGTTTGTTTACTGGAAAAGTAGTTTAAAAAATATTTCCATTGCAGTAGAGTGTGAAGAAATGTTTATGTAACATAGGAATGATTACTACTTTATGTGACCATTGTATTTTCAGAATAATTTTTATTTTAATTATGATAATTTTTCTGAAAACAGAAATAACACTGGGTAGATTGAAAAGAAGGAAAGGAAATGAGTTGGGGCAAATGTTTGTATATGTATATGAATGTTAAATGTGTATGGAAGATAATTTGCCCATTTGTGAATAAATTAGAGAAATTAAATAGGAACTGAAATTAGTTGGTTTTGATACATTTTTTCTCTAAAAAAATATTTATACTTTTAATTCAAGAAGATAAGAGCCCCTGTGTTTGTGTTCATTAAGATATTAATTTGTAAGAAATAAGTCTGGCATTTTATGAAAATGTATTATTTGTCTGAAAGTTTTGTGTATAATAACTGCATTACATACTGGTCAACAGTCTTACTGCTTTTTGGAAGCTTAATACAATCTGCATTATGTTTGTGAAAAAAGTTATTCCTGAAGGGTATAATCAGTGCTGAATTAAGGTTTGATGTCTGGAAGTGTTGAGAGCCCATAGGCCTGTTCTGAAGTAGAGGGGATATCAATAATTCAGATTGCGAATTGAATGATTGACTGAAAGAAGGCCACATTTTGAAACACATGGTTAAGAAAATCAGATAAATAAAAATGAAGGGAAGGTGGTTCGTAGTTCAAAATATATCTTATATACCATGTCACTAATGAAGACCATAGCCCTTCTTCCAGTTAAACTGACAATCTTCTAAAGGAATCACATTTACTTAATTTTCAGAGAAATTTGTTTGGAAAGAAATGACTAGAAATGTGTTCAAATGTTTATTGACATTTTTATAAGAATAAATTAATTTTTTTTTTTTTTCTTTTTTATTTTTTTTTTGGTAAAATTGAGTTATTATGCCTGCAGTTTTGTTCAGTGACTAGAGAAGAAGCAACAGATGCATTTCAAAAATAGTAAAAACAAAATACAGATTTAGTTTCATTGCACATAAATGACAGTAGTAAAAATGAGAAAATGTTAAAATAAAATGGATGTAATACAATTATTGCATATTAAAGGGTCTTCAATCTGGCAGGGATCCTTGGTTTTCATAGCCCAAGAGGCCTATAAGGACTTAGTGGCACAGGGGTGCCCAGAGGATGAGACAACTTGCCCCAGGTCTGTCTTAATTGGAGCTCGAACAATTTTATTAATTCATAAAAATTTATAATTCATTTCCTCTTATTAAAATTAACCACTTCATGGCATTCCTGGTGCATGGAGAAATGAATTCTTTTTATGTATTGGAAAGGGAAGATTTTATTTGAAATGTGGGGCCCCAGTGGATTTATTATCGCAGGCCTCTAGGTTTCTCTGGGTGGCCCTGGGGGTAGCTGGATTTGCTCAGGGACTCTCAGCTCTTGTAGTTTGAGAGATCTTATAAACAGCTTAGATTAGATTTCTGAAACGTGGATATCATATTAAATACAAGAATGTAAGAAAAATAATTGTTGAACTCATCATCCATGAAATAAATCCTGGGATCAAAAACTCCTGACTACACCAGACTAAAAGTCAAATCGTTTTAGAAAGACATAAAAAGTTATTAGGTTTTCAATTACTCTCAGGTAATGGGCTGAATCTTTGTTGCAGAAATTTACAGAACCAGTGAAGCTTGCTGAATAAGCTGAGAACTTAATTTTTATCCCTAAACAGGATATTCTGCTTTTTCAATTCTCTGTTGAATTGCACTGTTAAACATATCTTATCACTCAAAATAAAATAAAAAATTCATGAAGAAAAATATTGAATAAAGTATTGTGAGGTAGATTTTCATTGTATAATTTAGTAACATGTTTTCAATCAACTACTTATTCAACTGTTTCATTGAAACAAAGCAAATACTGTGAGCATTGTTCTTAAACTATTTTATTCTTTCTTGCATTACTTTTTATGACCTTTTTGGAAATGAATGAGAACCAAACCTATAATTTATAATTTTAATTTACATGTTACATTGTTTAGAATAATTTGAGATGACCAATTAGTATTGTTACTGTATTTCTTCTTGATATTTTCTTATATTATCTCTTGTATACCAAATGTGATATCTTTGGGATCCATTACAAGATAGAACGTGAATGTAATTGATTCATTTAATATTGAGAGAAAAGTTCAACAAAAAAATGTTTACTTATTCTTATGGAATGATGGAAAATTTTTAATTTATCATATTTCTTCCTGTTATGCTACAAAAACCTGTAAATCTACATTTTTAAATTGCATGGTTAAATGTTAAAAATTAATAATATTGTAGTTGAGTGTCTTTTCTTCATTCTTAGAAACAATTGGAAGGTTTTCAGGGAATTGACCACAATGAATCTTATCCAATAAACACTTGCAAGAATAGCATTCATGATACCTGTAATATTATTAAAATATTTCATAAGAAACTGCCCTTAGCACACAGTAAGTTTTATTATTAAGGCCAGGGGTTAATTTTTTAGAGTAGGAACATTTGTTTAATTTAAATGTTTCCTTTTTCTCCTTTTAAGCTGGTCAGAATTACTTCTCTCTATATAAATTGGCCTCATTTTCAAAAAGGGATACTACTTGTAAAAAATATAATTTTAATCTTGGTAAACAAACTTAAGTTTCTGTACCATTTGTTACAGAAATTGTTTAAATTTAAGAATTACTGTGTTTCTTAGTTATAAACTAAGTATATTCAGTTAATTCTGCTTTGTAATGAAAAGAAAATTATGAACATGAGGTAAACTCATTTAAGGTATGTGTACTATCATATTTGTGCCTGTTATTCACATCTTACAGACTTTGATTTGGTTAATCATTGTTCTCATTTTGAAGAATACATTTTTCTATAGAAACATAGCTATTTAGTTTTTTTGAGAGTGTAGTTAATATCTTATACTTTTGGAAGAGATAACCACTTTAATTAGAATTTTAATGAAGTGTTAAATAAGTCTTTCATATACTCCAAAGTTTAGTTTCTTCCATGCAGACTTTTAATCAATGTATTTTTACAATGTTCAAGAATTTTTGTTGAGATTAATACAAGAAAATTAACTTCAGAAACTTAATCAGACGTTGGTCTTATGTTACAGGCATTTGAAAGACAACTTGCTTACAACTATTATAGTCGGGGTTGTTATTTCCTTACTGAAGCAATGAAACATACAAATGCTTGGTTTTGTCAATAACCATTACAGTTTGCCCCGGCAAATATTTAGTTAACCTCTGAAAATACTTTTGATAAATAATTGATTAATTGGAGGGCAAGGGTGACATGGTTCCTTTTATGAATCACTAGATGTTCTCGCAACGTGGTTTGCATGGAATCTTGAGTTAATTTAGGCATGTTAATGTTTTGAAAATAGAAATAAAATGTGAAAATAATTATTTGACAATTGTTTACACTAATATTGTAATGAAATTACAGTACAGCTTCTATTGTCATACACTTTGGGAGCTATACACTCAGGGTGACGTGTGGCCCAAGTGTATATTTGTCGAAGTATGTGTGGCAGTGGATGTACAATTTTATTCCTTCAAAATAAATTCTTATAAAAGTGAGAAAGGATAATTAAGCTGCGATTTATCCAATTGTGCGCCTGGCAGGTATCAGCTGTAGACAGTTTCATCCAATAGGGAGCTTCAACTTCTTCATAGTGACGACCATACTGTGATGTTATTGGATGAAACTCAACAGCTGGTACCTGCTAGGGATGCTGCAGAGTTGGAGAAATCGCAGTACTTATAGTGTGAGCACCCGCGCCGGAAGAGCGCGAGCGAAGGCGCGAATGACGTTGCGATCAAACCGCATTCGGTTAGGGATGCGACATCGATGTCGATGATTTAAACATTGATGTATCTGGGAGTTTGTGTCAACTCGAATGTTAATGCGCTATCGATTTTCTGCGCATGCGCAGTTCAAGATTCACACGACGTAAGTGCATCTGCGCATGCGTAGAAGATCGATACTGTCCGCTATGGCGTGCACAAACTGCTTGATAGAGTTCGCCAAAGATTGATAGTGCTGTCTGCTTTGGCGTGCACCAACTCCCCAATAGGAATTTTTTACAAAGTGGACAGCACTATTGATCTTCTCCACATGCGAAGATGCAATAGTGTTGCGAAACTTGAAGTGCGCCTGCGCAGAAGATCGATAGTGCTTTAACGTTCGAGGATGCACAAACTTTCGATGTTTTTACGTTTTCAGTATTTTGTTCGTGAATGATAGATCATAATCACAATAATGCAAAATTTAAAACGAGCTATAACTGATGGTATGGTTCCACTATCTGTTTGTATTCGAAACGAACGCTATTTGTTCTCCGCCGGCAGACTACAATCTTTCGCTCGGGATGAACCAAATAGTTTGTTATTTCCTTCGTCTTTTCTGTATTTCGCACATGGAAAGACGTATAACTTATTTTGAATTATAAATGAATGAGCATGGACATTGTCAAATTAAATTTTGTTGCCCCCGAAATTAATGCTGGAGGTTACTGAACCAATTCAAAAACATGGTTTTTGATCGATGTATTTTTAACATTTTGATTGTCTTGTTGACATCGCATTACTGTGGATCTGTCGTGGACAACTTGGTGGCAAAATGCGTTGGATATAAAATTGGGTTTAAAGGGTGAAAAATACAATCTGAAATAGTCTGTTTATTGATTCATCAATGATTCAAAGGAACCTTGACACTATAAACGTCTGATTTACCTAATAATTAGTCATCTCTGGTGCTTAGTAATATACTGTTATTCTTACTCCACAGTAGATTGGCAGATTGTTTAATTCTGGCATAAATGATTTATCCACTTTGATTATTTTAAGTCATACTTCACGAAATTAGTTTTGTAATAGGTTTTATTTTAAATGGAATAATGTGGCCTAATACTTTGCATCTTAAACATTACTTTCAGTAGCGTAAAGAATTGAGTGCAGGCCCGCCCAGAAAACATTTATCCGCCCCCCTCCCTTTGTAAAAATATAGATCTAACACTAGTGTTAGTACCTTAAATAATCAAAATATCTCTTAAAACGGGCCCGAACTTGACGCCACTGATTACTTCCATGTTAAGAAATACTTGAACACAACTGTTCTAATGGTAACCTATTACAATGATATTTCATGGCCTTCAGCCATGCTTCTCCTCAAGTGGTGGTGTTGCTCTATATGTTGCCATTAGTATGTTCCCAGGATGAATAGAGAAAGATGTGTGTTTACATGAAAATAATAGCTCATTAGAATTTTTACGAAGTGGATAAAACGTGTGATATTTATGTGGTAACTTATTACTATACTTGATTGGTTATGAATCTTTTCTGGTATTGAAAGATTTCTTACAATACTTATTTCATAAATATTATTAAAAGTTGTGTTGTAGATAATCATATATTTAAAAGTGTTACTTGAATCATTTTTGTCTTTCAGCATCATTGTATTGGTGTGTTTGAAATAATTAATAAAAACATTATTTGATTCAATTTCTTCATTTTACTTTCTCGTATGCAACTTTCAGGATATTGGGGAAATTTAAGGGAGTTTTGCATGGCACAGAGTACCACGATAAAAAGACAGTAATCGACTGCCGTGACTAATCTGCGTATGCGCAGATGCACAAAAGTGTGAATTGAAACCACTACACCAGGTGGTCTGCCCGCGAGGGCGGCGAAAGTGCAGGATATACTTCAATTTATTTGTAGCGGTGCTTGGTGTAAGCCAGCTGTTTTGTCATTCAATCGGGAGCTTGAACGTCACTATGGTGGAATTATTTGCCTTATTGTTAGTATTTAAATGGATAATGTCTGAATTTCTAGTTACATGGGCCATAATTCACTGTTTCTTTTAGTGCTCTGCTATATATCGACTTTTTTCATTCATTGTAACTCTAAAACTATATTTTAAAGCATTGGCTTTTTTAAAAAAATATTAAATTCTCACTAACAACATTTTACAAATTAATAATTGATTTTCACCGGTAATGCTATAATCTTCAAATGATAGCAAAACCAAGGAAATGAAGAGCAATCTCTGACATCATGATTGATATAAAAATGACATATAGGCAATTTCAAGTGGCATGGAATGTTTGGCAGCACGTATATTACGATCATTTCCCCCCATTATGAATATGAATAAGAGATGCCGAGCAAACCTCTGTGACGATGATGACAATCATATTATTATTATACAATATTCACAGTATCTACTGGTCGGTATGTTAACCACACACAGGAATGATGACCAGGTGTGTGGTTGCTT